CAGGAAGCACATACGGAAGAAGAGACCTCCCGTCTCTCAGCCTCCATACTAATAATAAGGGGGTTCATGGCTCTTAGAAAAGAAATAGGCAGGAGAGTTAGTTAGGGGGTTTCGGGTCTGCCTGCAAAGACACTGAGGTCATCCTATCCTAGAAGGGGTCTGTCCTAATCCGCGCACAATTAAGCAAGCCAGAATGCATTTTTTAACTTTAACTCACACAAAGAAACCAGTAGGCGGCGATTTAGGTACCAGTTTAAATCAGTCACTCGCACCTGCGCAATAAAGACCCCGACAACCTTCAACTCACCTGAGCCTCATTATACCGTCATTATAATATGATGTATATGCCCGAAAGTTCATTAATATCATTATAACAGACTGAATTCTGGGAACAAACATGCGCAGAAAGCAAAATGATGAATCACCGAGTCCTGTCAATCTTAGCTGTCAATCAAGGAAGCCCACTCCTCTAAGAAAAGTAACCACCCACAGTAAAAAAGGGATAAAAACCCTGAAGTCTTTGTTACCAGACCTTTTAAGCCACGCTTCTCTTGCTCAGGCCCGCTTCCACAACTGGAAGTGTACTTTCCTTTCTAATAAATCCTTTCTTTTCTACTATATTTCGGTGTCTTGCTCAATTCTTTGTTCGAGACATCAAGAACCTGGACAACGCTTCAGAAGAGGACCCAACTCTCCGTTAACACAGGCACTCAGTCAATGGAAAATAAATGACCTTGTGGTCCTCCTCCTCTCCTTCACAACCATTGCCCTCTCTACCACATATGTGGCAGAAACCAAAATAGTCAGGGTTCTAGCAAGAAAGCCTAGAAAGCTTTCTTCGTGCATTTGAAGTCCCTTCCATGGGACTATGAGCTGCTCAGAGGGCAGGAACCATATGTGACTCCTGTCTGCATTCCCCTCTCTCTGCCAAACACCACGCACAGTGCTGACACCATGGGACTAGGAGCTGCTCAGAGGGCAGGAACCATATGTGACTCCTGTCTGCATTCCCCTCTCTCTGCCAAACACCACGCACAGTGCTGACAGGTGAGGCAGTCCATGAAGGTGTCCAAGTATGGTAGCTGACAGCAAGCGGCAAATCGATGCCGCCGTCCCTCTCTCATACCTGGCCTGTTGTTGGGCTGTGCACACTGGCCACCTGAAGCAGGTCATTGTCAGACAGCTTCGTTTCACCTGACTCTTTGTTGACCTAACTTCTGGGTGTTGTCAGTCATCATGCACATTTTGGCCCGTCCAAGACCATTTCTGGTGGCTTGTTGATCTCCAAGCTTATGCCTTACTACTATTAAAAACAAAAAACAGAAAACAAAAAAAACCCAAAAAACTGCACTGATGTTCTAGGGGTGCCCTTCAGATCTGATTATAATTTGTGAGCTTGAGATTTTTGAGAGAAGAAACAGAGAATTCTATTACTAGTTATAGTCTTTTCCTTTGTCCTCATGAAAAATATTTTATTCCCTTGTGATTTCTTTGACACTCTGGTTATTTAGAAGTATGTATTTAATTTGCAATTAGGAAGTGCAGAAAAGAGATAACATAGCAGATCTGAGACTGCCATCCTTGGAAAGGCCTGCTTGTGAGGTTGGCCTTGGCTGGGATCTGGGAAT